CCATATGGTTTATTAAGGTCAGATGTCAAAAGGGAAGGAATTCAGAGAGTATCTAAGTTGTTATTTGATGCAGCATTACTGGTGTAAGTATCTGAGACACTTCAGCTTGCCTTTCATAGCTAAATACACCAGTAATTGACTCATTTTTACTAAATACACTATGGTTAATGTATTTAAGAAATGGAAGACTATTGGATGTGCTAAACAAAATATTAATTTCATGGTCCATACAAACATTGAAACATTTTATTAGTGCTAACATGTCCTTTATGCACAAATAACCTAGGATTCATTAAAGCACGCAGTACAAAAGGTACATTTGTCATCCCAGCTGTGTAGAGTGGGGGGGGGGGTAGTATTACAGTGTAGGCTGCTCTAGCTGGTTAAGAATTGCTTCTTATAATATATTCCAAATAATGCTACACTGTCAACAATGAAAAAGTTTATAGAGAATCACACTTATTTTAGCATGCTTATGCACCATACCAAACTGCATGTCACATTTAGCAGTGTTTTGGCCAGTTCAAATCCCTGACCTGATTCCAACTAAACCACATTGAGGCATTTAAGAATATCACTTGAAAGACATACCTTGAAATTCATTTTACTTAACAGGTGCTTTGCAAGAGAAGTGGTGGTCTATTCTGCTAAATGTATAATATTGACCAGTGTCAAGTGTTAATAGCTGGTTCAAGGTTATTGTTAATGTTAAACAACACAGCATTTCTTTCCATGGTGTACCTTTCTAATACTCTTTATAGAATTTAGTTACACACAGTCATAAACATAGATACACAAAAGATATTTTGTTAAAATGTTAGGTGCAATTAATGGTTACAAATTACATGAAAAACTCATTTTTCTCAGGCAACATTTTAAATGATTAGAATATGGATTAAGCAGTGTTTGATTTATTCACTCACAATGTAAATAAAATGTGGATTTGAACTTAGTTTAGAAAGAAGACTAGGAATTAATATGAAGTAGCAAAAGTTAGAAAGTTGTTTCCCATTCTGTGCTATTCCTTTCTTTTTGTCATATTTTGGAAGAAGTGGTAAGATACTCTGTATAAAGTAGTTTATGAATTATTTTGGCATTGTGTTTATTTTCTACACCACTTGTTAATACAAAAGTGTTTAAAGTGCTTCTTGCTGTACATTATTCACTTGTTTGCTTTTATCATTCATTAATTAGCAGGTGTAAGATATTACAGACATTTATATTTCAGTCTTTACTTCCAGAAGTAAAATACAGAAATAAAGATAACTTTTTTTTATATATTAATGCAAATCTTCCTGGTACTAATTAGTTTGAAATATGTTCTTTTATTTCACTGAACTTAAGTAAATATTTTACACAAAAGTCAGAACTGCAATTCTTCCAGTTCTTTCAAAAGTTCACTTTCCTTCTTGATTTTTTCCAGCTAAAAAAAACAACAAAAAACAGTAAGATGCAAGGAAATTATGTAACTTACAAGTAGAGATAATGAAAATAACTGTTTAAACATGTGACCATGAGTAGTTTAAAAATGTATCTAAGATGAGTTATATATGAAGTCCTTAATCTGTCAGGTTTCTTTGAACACAGATATTATTGATAAATAGTAACTATGCAACACTAATTTCATTGCAGACACTGACACAAGCTATATCGTTTAAGTGATATTGATCCACAATTTTTTATGATATTTGTTTAAGAACAGATGGACAACAAAATAATACAGTAACTCTGAACTGTCAATTTGAAACTTTGTTGTAGTGAAAAAGCAATTTAAACTTGAACAGAGTTCTTCAAATACCTATAGAATGATAGGTTTCTCTTTTGTGAGTGTAAAACACTTAAAAACACTATTTCGATTTTCGATACCTTACTACTATAAAGGCTTAGTTTGGTCTGAAGTTTCATTGGTGGTAGTGTCCAGGGTCACTGATGAGGAGTGGAATTCTCCGAAACTAGTCTGGCTCACAGACACCCCCCCCCCAATGAAAGAATAGACCATTCCAAGCTTTTACTTATTGTTAAACAAATGTTTAAACAACTTTATTCGATAAGTCCAATGATTAAATGTCTTAATTACAACTCATTTTAAACTACTGTAATATCCTACTTAAAATGTTCGTGTTAGGGACATAATCTTAAAACTGGATACTTAATGACTCTGTTATGCAATATTTCCATTCATACAAACAACATCAAGAAACTATATTCTAATAGTCAATGAGATATTTTATTATGAAACATTTTCAGGGCTGCAACCCACAAAAGAAACAGTATTTAATATCATGGTGTATGGATAACTGCATCCTGCTCTGAAGGAAAAATTTCACCACTGAGTTAAAGATTAATAGAAAAGCAACAAATACTTATTTTCCACATATTAAGAAAAATAAATTTAAGAGTTGAATTTTATCTAATAAAACTTTTATTATTTAATTATATACACAAAAATCTTCCTAAATTACAAATTTTGATCCTGAGTGTAATTTCAATACAAGTGTAATTTTACTGATTTTAGTCTCTCATTTTTTTCTCATGCCTGGTTATCATGGTGTGATATAATACCTCTACCTCAACTATAAGTAATAGGCTACTGACAAACAAATAATTAAAGCTCTTGTTCTGTTCTTTCAATTGTATAAGCCAATCTGATTTCAACTGCAGCGGGAACTTACGTAGAGATTGGAACAAAGTGATAAAAACTTGATTTGCTGATACGTTGCTTTTATAAAAGATGTTTGTGAATAACTTCTACAAATTATGGTCCTACTTTTTTAAAGCTTGCTTTATCATTTTATACTTTATTTCAATTATGATATTGCAGTGTGATTAGAAATGTTTTTCTTGGAACATGACGGAATAGGTTTAGATAGATAATTCTGCAATTTATTGTTTCAAGTTTCATTTTGCCTTGTTTACATTAGGTATATTAGCCTAAGTAACTTCTTGAAATAGGCAAATAAAATAAAACAAACAAACATATATATATATCAATGAATATAAATGAGTGTAAACTTATTACATATGTTAAATGAAACTGCTGATTAACAACTTAAATAGTCACCTTACATATAATTTAGGTATTTTTATTGTATCCCAGTGATTATAAACATCATAAAACTAAGTGTTTTTTGAAATCAACACAAAGTTGAAATTTAGTTTTCAAAAACAGAAACTTTATAAAAAAGTTTATAAAAATATAGAAATACATAAAAAGCACCAATTGAATTTTACAACAAAGGTAAACATTTTTAATCGCTTCTTTAAAAAACATATCACAATGAAATATTTTCTAATCATCAAAGCTGTGAATTCATATAAATATCCCATTAAAAACAAAATATTTTATGTGTAGAAGCTACATAATCTGTAGGAAGTACATCATGTTTCAAAATATTTCATCCAGTAGATGTGCTATATCATACAGTAAGGCATTTTAGAGTTAAACAGCAGGTTGCTTGTCCAGGGTAATGATATATTATCTTTGTTGCTAAAAGTTGAGTTACTTTAAACTATCTTAAACAGATGTCAGGTCTACAAGGATTTTGGTTTCTCAAGAGCATAGGGAAGAGGGAGGTATAAATTTTTACCAGAGCTATTAAATTTTGCTTTTGTTATGATTTGAAATATAATAAGTTGAAAGCTATCTTCACTAATGATAATTGCACAAATAAGTGTTATGGCATTTCAACATATGATATAAGGAAAAAAATGTATGTTAATTCAGTTTGAAATAAAATTGGTAAATTATAAAAACACAAGTTTTTTATAGGCTCACTGGATAAAAAAACCACATTATTTGGACCAAAGTAGGTGTCTTATGTCTTTCCAAAGAATACTTACTAATTTATTAAGATTTTGTTACTGGTTTGTTTACCATTAAATTGAGAAAACTTTATCCTTTACTCCAAAGTCATGTTTTTAATATACATGGGTAAGTGATACTACCAGTCAGTCAATAACCCACCAAAACACCAATTAACTAAAAGGACCACTTTCAAAATATAGGTTTTTACAAGTTCACTGTAAACATGCCATGCAAAATTGTTTTCACAGTATAGGCTGTTGCTAAATAATTTTACTATGGTATAAAGAAAATACTGATTATAGAGGGTTTGTCGCATTTTAAGTACGTTTTAAACAATGACAAGCTAGTTATCATGTTCTGGCTTTAAACTGATCATAGCTTAATTGAAGATGACAGCCATTAAAGTGCATGCACAAGCGAATCTCTCCTAACAGACATGGTGAGAAAAATGTATTTTCTTTTTTTTAGTAACGTTTTCAATACACAATAATAGCAACTAAGAGTTTAAGTTGGTAAGTAAAGTTTCTATTTTAGAGACAAAAAAAGTAATGACCACAGCAATGTAACTGAATTTTTAAAACTACACTGGAGTATATGCTTATCTCAGATCATTGCTGTATACAAATTACCCAATATGTTGCTCATAGTTTGAAGTTATGTTCAATATCATAATTTTTTTAATTAAGAGAAAGAATATTAATGAAATTTGGCTCATGCTCAGTAGGGTGTCTACCTCTTGATAAAGCCATAAGGTGAAATGATGAGGAAATACAGAACTTTCACTGGAAACTGGCTGTATCTCTTCATTAAACACATTTATATTCCAGTGTGCACTACACTACCTGAATGTCTTAATTTATTGAATAGTTAATTTTATTATCACTTTGATACAATCTCATCATTTGACTACTATAAATTTATTGTAAATTAATAAAGAAAAAGTATTTATGTTTAGCTAAATTACTATTCAAAACATAACATATTTAGTTTTAAGTATTTAGTATAACATATTTAGTTTACAATCACTACTAAATAATAATTTGCTAAACTCAGATCCACCCTTTAAAAATACTAAAAATATTCAGTTTAGAAAGGCTAAGATATTAAAACACAAAACTTGCTATGTTTGAGTCTTTAGGCCTACAAAGAAGATGAATCTTTTAATTTTTTTTATAAAGATCTAAGACTGACTGACCTCCAGCACCAGCAAAGACAATCCTTGGACCTTTGTAGTGGTTGGTGATGTATTCTACTAAATCCTGTCGACTGATGCTTCTACAGGGGACATAATGATGTATACCAACATTTTAATTCAAATTTTCAAGATCAATTCAGTGCTTCTTATCAACTTACCTTATCATTTAGAATTTTAATAAGGTTCTATCAATTGTACAAAATAAGGCCAGTTTCCTACAGACCATTCCAGCCAATAACAATGAACAATGTGTGTTAAAAATGTATGAAATTTTAAAAAATATATGCAATTTCACATTAAATTAATTTAAACAAGCAAAAAGATTAAATTTTAACTGTTACAATGTTAAATCTTTATCACTCATTTATTAGCAAATAAGTGAACAAAACAGTACAAGTTACTGTGACTGGATTTTGTATCTAAAATTACTTCATAATACAGAATGATAATTAATGAGCATACAAAAAATATGAATACAAAAATAAAGACAAAAACAAATAAAAGGGCATAATTTCTGTTTCTTACTCTGCAACAAATCACATTTACAGCCACATACACACACAAAGAACTATGTTTTCTGTTTAAGATCTCTTATATTCTGAGAAGGAATTTTTATAATATAAAAAAATTATTTTAATTTATACCTATGTATCAAGAAGTTAATAATCTTATAAACCAGAGACGACTTTTAACAAGCAGCTTCAGTATATAAACTTTTATACAACTACACTTATAATGTGGGTACTTGTACATACTTGTCTTCATCATTCAGTCTCAAAGTTGACAAGGTGTAAAATCATAGGTTAATTACACACATTCAGACAAGTGGTAATAATATTAAATATGTTGTCAAAAGCCGAACATCACTAGAACAATAAGATCCTGTAGTCAGGACATTTGTAAATGCAAAGCAGACAACCACAACATTGGCTAAAACATTTGGAAATACAAGTTACACTTTAACAAGGTATTTTATAAATACTTCTTATAATACTATAACAATTCTCAACTTTAATTATTATTTGGATGCAGGAGTAAAAAGTGATGGTACTCAAATGTGCATACAATAAAGGATTTTGCTCATATGCATAATTTATAATATAATTTACTAAAAAAAGTACATACAGCCATTGTTTTGATGGTTTTTAAAGAAACAAATATATATATATATTAAATATGCAACTACATTAAAAATACCATAGCTGTAAATGCACCTCATATGTTGTTTTCTTTTAATTCACAGTTCACTGGATAACAAAAAGGCACTGTATGTCCCAAGATCAGGGGCAGGTGCCAATCACAGCATATTAGCCAATAAAAAGTGTCACTTGGATATATTTATCATTAATGACCAATCATACAAACCACACAGCTAGATGACACTATCCAATTGGTTTAGCTCTTTCCATATGGGGTCAGGCAATGTGACCAATTGTGTAGTCACAAAGTAACAATAAAATTTTCGATACTATAACTTTTAACATATTTTGAGGGTCTGACTTTCTAATTTACATCTCTGTAAACAAACAGACAGTAGGCTATAAAAAATTACACTTTACCTTGGTAATATACATATATATACATGTATATTATAATAAGTAATTTATGATAAACTCCATACTTCAGAGATGGGTTGTAAATAAATACGAGAATAGACAAAACCTAGAGAACACACATCACAATTCTCATACAAGTGGAGATTGAAGATTTATTTACATTTTTCCTTCTAAAATTAAGAAATTAAAAACTTATATAATATTATTTGATTTATTAACTATGTTTGATGCCAAATTTATTCATATATATATACATATATATATACTGATAATAAAGTAGCTTCATTAAATTTTGAATGTAACTGTGTAAAACATCATGATGTGCACTTTAACTTACCTGTAGCAAGAGGGTTAATACTGATTGAAATCCAAGCTACTAAATAACTTCTCCTCAGAGCTTGTTACAAACAATAACTAATGTTGTTAGGTCGTTTATTGGTTCATTTGAAAATATTTAATAATTCTTTAGATTCCGTGAGTCATATGTCTGCTTTTTAACAGTACCATGCAAGGCATGCAGGCTGAATGAAAAGCAGATCATATAAGTCCCGATACTGAATACCAACAATAAAGTAAGTCCCAGTACTGAGAATTGGCAGAATTTCACTCACTTGGATAAAATTAATGTGATATTGGCTGCCTTCAGGGATTAACCCACCAATTTTTCAAGTGCAGCCTATGGCAGATGAAATGGAAAAATTTGAAGAATTAAACATTTAGGGGGAAGTTTCATCTATATATAGTTTAACTAACTCTTTCCACCCGGGCTCAGTCCATGGGACCGACTTCGTAAACATTTTGTGCTTGTTATACTTTCATGCTATAGCTTTTTAATTAGTAAGCGAATGTTAACAAAATTTGGCAGTTTAACAGTAAACATTACAATGCTTTCATGCACAAAATATCTAATTTCTTTATTAAGTCTTTTAAGGTTTTTTAAGCTATGTTTCTCTCATACCTTTTTTTTTTCTTTTCACATCTTGCCTATCTATCATTCAAAGTAATTTTCATCTTAACATTAAAAACCCTTTTATGCATCAGAAAATTTTGAAATTTCACATGCAAAATCTTTATAATGTCCAAATAGTTATCAAATGTTTCTTAAGAAAAACTATATTTTACCTCTTATTTTCAGTAATTAATTTCTGTACGGGTTCGATACCATTGACCAATCCCGCAACCACCATAAAAAAATTAGGAAATAAACAAATTATGCATCTTTCATTCCAGAATGAACAAAAATTATAACACGAAAATATATATGTTTAGACGAAATAGCTTAAATCTCATAACATTATAGATTTATGTATATTTATTATATTGACCTTTCACCGTGCCTGGCTAACAATACAGAAGTTACAATGACGTGGCTCATGTGCACTCATGTTACATGACCTTTGGTCTGTACAAAGTAGCTTGTCTTGGCTGTGTTGTAGCAGACTAGTATTTTGTAAAATACAGTCACATTTCAATTATTATACATTATATATTTATATATATTTGCTATTTTGATATTAGTTCTTTAAGTTATTTTTCCTAAAACATAGAACAATAAATAAAGTAAAGCAAACAATTATCTCTTCTAGTTGTGACCTTTGTACTTGATTGCTGCTTGATGTAGGTTGCTAAGCCTTTAAAAATTTTGCACGTGGAGGTCATGAAACAAAATATTTTTTTTAGGTTTTATATATATATATTCTTGAATAATTTAAAAATCATAAATTACTACATCAACACCATATAATTCTACTATAATTTATCAAACATAGTAACTAAGCTGTATTGGGGTCTAAAAAAATATGAAAATTCGAGCAGACTAAAGACACAACCTACCTCATTTAAGTCTTGATTTAAAAGAAAGAAATGATGCTAGGTATGTTAGAAAGGCTTAGAAAACCACTAGGGGAACATTCTAAGCTTCTGATTGTTTATCCATGTCATATATAGAAGTGTTTATAAGGGAGCATTTCCAAAAATAGAAGGAGATGAGCAGGGTGTCACATGTTTGATTTATTATGTGAGCAATATCTTAGCAAGTAAAAAAGATAAGACCTTCTTATTTTATATTCAAGCTTGTCAACATCTGTAATTTGAGTTTCTAATATATATGAAATTATAGACTTTGTATTTTGACTTCACAAACATCTAATTTGAACCAGTGCTGCATTCAACATACCACGTGACACACAAAAAATCGATGTTTATCTGTGTTTTTTCATATTTACTTTTAAATTAACAAATTGAGTAATATATATTTCTAAAAGTTGAATTATAATCTACAGTTCGATACCAAACTTATTGACATAAATTCATGAAATACTAATTCAATAAAATTTTGAATGTGAGTCAACAAACGAGATGACATGGCCTTTCACCTGTAATTCATATCAAAAGGGTTACGTTAAGCCTTATCCTAGGTAAGCCCTATCTATATAGTTCTACTACATAAATACCTTAGCTTTATAACCTTATACTAAGTTAACAGTCTAGCTAGCCCTAAGAAACCTTCACACATTCAGACCACCAGTAAAATGTCATACTTTCCCTCTTTCAAAACAGTTCAAAAACCTAAGACTTCAGCCACTTACACATGTATGAAATATATTTTATTTTTAAGAATAAACAAACTTAAAACACTCTGGATAATACAGCTGTATGTATATGATTGCTTAACATGCTTCTGCTTAATGCTTAACATGTTAGACCCATAAAAAAATCTGTAATTGTAAAATAATTAATTGCACAATTTTAGTGGAGATACATTCACATAAATTCATATACCTTGTAAAAAATTACAAATATAAAAACATATGACAAAACAAAATCATATGACCTTACTTCTCAGTAAAAAAATAAAGGAAACCCAAAACTGCAGAAGTTTGTGAAGTTTCTATAACTTTTGTTTTATATATATACGTATATGGAAAAACTCTGTTCCCATATTTCACTGTAATCCAAATGAACTACAACACAACTACTCAAGCCAAGGGCACACCAGATTCATTATTATAAAATTAAATTAGTCTGCATGGTAGAAACATGTAAAAGTCTTCATGTTTTACTGTTACAAAAAAAGACAGTCTTGTTTCTAATATTTTTCAAACAACAATGTAATAAAAATGTTTCAAAAAAATAATGTCTATTTCATTAATTTTTGGAAACTCAGGTGCTTATGTCATTACCGTCTACATGCATTTTTGCTCGAAAAAGGTAGATTCACTCAAAACAAAGAAATAAATTGGGTGAAACATTAATATTGCTCTGTTATTCTTTTCTTCACCTGCAGCTTTTATGATGAGTTTTCACCTTCAACATACTCATGTATAAAACTAAACTACATTTTGCATGTACTTGTTAGATTCATACTTTGGATACACATGCAATGGGTATGAACATGAATGTGACATCATGTGAGAAGAACGAGGAATTAACTCTCTCAATATGGGCTTGGTCAATTTGACCGACAACGTGACCTCTTTGTACTCATATAAAGTCTTTATAGATTTGATACTACTAACTTTTAATATAGTATGTATATCTTCTCAAAATTTGGCAATCTTTCACATACAAAAAATCTTATTTTTTTTATCAAGTATTTCAAATAAACTAAAAAAAAATTGTATTTATTTTGAATAGTCCATGAGCAAAGTGATTTTCATGTTAAGACCATAAATACTTTTCTTCATCTCAAAAATCTCAGATTTGATTTGTGTAATCTCTAAAACCTCCTAAATACATTTCAAATATTTATTTTCAGTAAAACTTTATATTTTATGTTATTTTCTCCACCTAAACTCTATACAATGTTGGTCAATTTGACCGACCTCATAACCACCAAAAAAAAAATCGAAGTAAATCTAAATTACCCTTTTTGTCTTTCTAGAATGACTTCAAATTGTAACATGAAACTACATTCATTTATCCTCAGTAGCTTTAAACTCTTAACAATATACATCTATTTATAATTACATTTTTATTGTTTTATTGCCCTTTGAATTGTGTTATAAGTTGTAACTCACTTGGAGAACATGGAGATCACGTTACACTATTGAATTACATTACCCATGAGCTGCTCTCGTGCATGCCTCGTGAAACAGTTTTATTATATTATTATTTATTTTACCTAATCTACCCTTAACTAACCTAAAGATTTTTACATTTTAGTTACTTTTATAATAATAAATAAAGAATAAAGAAATAAAGTACCTACCCGAATCTTCTTTCTTGCTGTCAATTGTTGATGACACATAACCCAATTTTTTATACTAATGGTAGTAATACACTAAATAATTTTTTTAAATTAAATAATGCACAAAAGAACATAGAATAATATGATTCAAAAAAAAAGAAAATTTCCCTTAACTCTCAAAAGTTTTTATGGCTTTCTAACTGTGCGAGAAGAACTGCTATAAAATCATCCAAACTAGTCATTATCTTTCCCGTTGGAACAAAGCTTGGATTAAGAGTGAAAGTGACAATTCTCCATTCCAAAAACAAGGTTATATAACATGTCATTTGATAGATAAAAAACTTAGCTTTCTATTGGCTATAGATAATACAGAATTAGACATACGAGAAAACTATCAACAAATCCTGAAGGAGAGGTTGTGAAAGGTGGGTGTGACAAGAGGGAATATTAAAAGGCAATATTTAAAAAAATATTGAATTTCCCCTATTGCAACACGTGACACATTTTCTCTAAGCATCTTCTCATCTATTTTATTCACTTCCAATAAGAATGAAATTCAATGTAAATTACTCACTATAAAATCATTATTGCTCAGATAAACCATAATTTTTTATAGCCTTCAATTTTGTTTGTTTACAGAGCTATCAAATTGAAAAACAGATCAAGAACTTAGAACTTATATACTATTAAAATATGGATTATTAGCTAAGATTTTGTGCTATACTAATTGGTATAACATAAACAAAATCTAGATTAATAGAATTTTTAATGTAAGTCACTAAAACCTTGTGATATGCACAGTAAAGGATGTCCATTGCGATAGGATTAAGACATCAGAGACAATTAAAAGACAATATCATAAATACAAATAACTGATTACAACCAATTATTCTAGACATTTTGTGTATGATCATGTCAACTACAACATTTCTTCCAAACAACTTATGATACAGGTAGCATTACATGCAACTCTGAAATAAAGAACTGGTTCGTTTGTGAATTTGTTATTTTATCCTGCATTTCTTCCTAAGTAATGTGAGTAGAACTATTAAGTATTCATACTTGATGTTTTCAGTGGGTCCCAAGATGGTCCTACCAAGAGGTGTTCCTTGGTATGCTACAGCATGCAGATGGTCAAATACCACTTCCTGTAAGTTTGTTTCTACCTCCTGCATCTCCCGTAGAATGACCCCTCGCTCCCTCTCAATCTCTTGCTCTCCAAATTTACTGTTCTGAATAATGTCTGCCAGAATTTCTACAGCTAATGGACACACCAAAGAAATAATTTATTAGCAAGCCCTTCTTCCTTAAAATAGAGCCACTCATTATAAATTAGGCATTCTAATTTAAATCAACAAAAATACAGAATGTCTTAAATCTCCAAGTTATTACTTGTAAACTGAGCATGCAGTGTTTGTAATTGTAAGACACATTCAGATTTGAAGCAAAGAAGTGAAAAATGATTTTTAAAACTTGTATAGATTACTAAAATTAAC